GAATGCCTTAAATCTCCCATCTTGCCTTCCTTTTCCTCCCCACAGATTAACACTCTCCATTTACAGTTTACTTTTTAATGTATGGAGAGCTCAAGTGAGCAGATGGGGTTGCCTCTACTGTGAAGACATAGAAGTGCAGTCTAGCGTTTAAGGCATTCGGTGGGAGAGAGCACTCATCAGAGGGTGTTTAGATGAGAACCCGGAACTGTTTCTACATTTTTTTCCATGTAAGAAGTCCTACAAAAAAAGAGTAGACTTCCCTCAGTAGGTTTGGTTCTGGAAGACTGTTTCTGATTTCTGTTAAACCTGTGTGAAAGATGGGCACCAAATTGATCAGATTTCCCGTTCTACACAGCAGCAAGCTCCAGCTACCTAGAGAATTTTAGGGAGGGTCATGTAGGAGATGCCCAGTTAGCTGAGCAAACATGTCTTATTTCAGCTGTTGGCCTATTTCTTGCTGAAGACCTGAGAGCTTGCTGAGCAGGGAGGTTACCTGTGAGCTAGCTGGGAGAACACCTTTGCCTGCTGGGGTGATAATTAAACACCCCAATTTAAATGGTCATGTCATTTATTTGGAAAATGACATAACCATTCCAGTGTGCAAAACAATGTAAGTTCGGCTGATGTAGGAGTTAATAGAAAACTCGGATATTATATAAAACACCTTTATCCAGTTGCGCACCCACATTTCAGTTAGGCACTTGAGAGGTCGCATTCAAAGAATTACTGGTCTATCCATGCATTAAGTCGTGCTAGTGATCCTGTTGTTTATTTCTATAAATTTGATCAAAGCACATTGAAATAGTGGGAAGACACTACCTGCTTCAAGGATTTGGATCAGGCTTTGAAGGAATAGTTGTTTGTTTTGTCCTTGATTTTTCACTAGAATGGAATTTTGGTTTGTATATTAATTTAGTTTTTTCTTTTGATCTATTACAGATGAGGGACTCATACCTCATTCTGGATGAATACGTAAGTCTTTCTTTGATACTTGGTATTTGTATGCTAATGTGTGTGTGTATACAACAGTGATAACCAATTCTATTTACTGTACATTCTATAAAATAATTTTGCCATGTAGTACAAGGAATAGATATAATTTTTTCCCATCAACCATACTGAGAACTTGAATTTAAGTATGACCTAAGGAGGAGTTGCCATCAGGTTGCATGCATAATCATTGCATCACGAATCTTAAAATGTAGATATGTATCTTTGCAGGATGTCTTTGTTGTTTTTCTTTAATTTAAAAATACAGAACTTGTCCTGAAAGTTAGGTTTCAAAGAGCCTATTTAGTTTACATGTAACTGAAGAGCAAACATTTCATCTTCAGGAATTACGGTATGGCTTTGTTCCTGCTAAGACGTGTCTGTGTGTGTAACCGTGAGCTTCTGAGCCTTCTAAGGATACAGTGAAACTGTTCATGCACTTACATGGGCTTTTGTGGGATTGCAGTGCAACTTGTTTAATTCTGTAGAAAAATTAAGCTTTTACAAATTGACTTTCTAATGTCTTATCTGTTGATGTTCCAGATGCGTTTTCTAAACTGTAGAAATGGACGGAAAGAGCCTTCCAAGTCTATCCTAGATGTTGGCGTAGAAGCAGCTATAAAATTCAGTGGATTTGATGAGAAGATGTTCCTAAAAAGAGGAGGAAAGTATGTGTGGAGTAAAGCAGACATGAAACTGGACTGGTAACTCAATATACTGAGTTAGGGCAGGTGCATTATGTAAAGAAAATGGTTGTGTATATATGTGCATGTATATACGTATACACGTATCTAATGCTTTTAACTACACTTGGTATACAGATTGATGTTCAGTATAACTCTATATGTGAATGTGTTGAATGTTTTTAGAATGTAGATTGTGTTCTTATCTATTGTTTGGTTGAACATTGCCAAGTACCTACAAAGCTTTCACATAAATAGGTCTCTGAAATCGACTTTCTAGCCCATTGCATGAAGGCATTAAGGGCAAATGGTTAAGGTCATGTCACACAGGAAACCGTTTTAAAATATACGTAAGTGTGCATGCCCGAAGATAAACCAAAACCCACCCCAATCTCTAATTCATTCTAAACAGTTGTAATGATGGGTAAGTGGAAACTCTTGTCAGGGAATTTATTCTGCCTCGTTCATATGGAAAGGTAGATTGCAGTTCCTCAGTCCATCACAAGAGGGCCAGCTGGCAGTCCTCTGGAAGCAATCTCTGCCTTTTTCAGGGGTTATAGAGCGTGGAATGTAGGAATCATTATCTGTAACAATATATTTAAAAGGAAATCAAGATGAAAACATTGGCAATTTTCATTCTTTAAGACTTAACTGTAAAAGCGTCTGTTGTTCTTCTCCCTCTCCTCCATATACACACACGATATTTGCAAAAAATGTTGGGGGATGTAATTTTCTGTGAAAATGTATTTTTAGTCATGAAAAAATATCATATTTGTCCTAAACCATAAAAGTGCATTTTACCCAATGACAAGCAACTTCTTATTTCACATTGGCCACGACCTTAGATCTAACAAATATTTATAGTGAAAATAAGGCTTGCATTGTATTCATAACTTCCTCCATTTTCCTGTTATCTGCAAATACTGATTTAATATTTCTAACATTTTTTTCTATCCCTGTACATACAGTTCTGATGAAGATTCCATCTGAAATTAATTAATACTATACATAGTATAGTATTATAGCACGCCGAACATGTATCTTCTGTTGCATACTGGCCGTGTTATTCGCATGCTTTTTATTTTGCTGAGCCATGGAATACAAACAACAAAGTTCACGTATCATGTAACCTTGTTTTAAAGGTTGCTTGGCTCAGTAATCATTCTTACTTGCTGGTTAGAAACACGCAGGTATTAAGCGAAGCGAATCAGGTTGTGTGATAGCTGTCTTTGATTTTAAGACTGGCAACATCAACATAAAATAGAGAAAAGTCAAAAACACCTGCAAAAACAGTAATCTAATATGCTGCCCTCATTCTTGGTGTTCTGGCAGTTTTTATGGATTTATAATTAAGGTTTTCCAAATGTAACTAGTCCCATCCGCCCCAAAGCTCTGTATGAAGGGCACGGGGATAAGCATTGTACAAAGCAGAAGTGAGCTGGTATTACGCATTCTTACTGTCCATTGAACTCAATGCCTGGACTGTCTCACACGCTTAAATATTTGCAGCAGTTACAAGCCAGCATGCATCAAATGTACCACGTAGAGAAAATTACACCTTCTTTCCTTTTTTATGGTAATGCTAGTTGATTTTGTAAAATAGTTTTTCAAGAGAAATGTTTTGCCTTCACCTAATGCATCTTCAAAGTTGAAGGGGAAAGCACGTAAGTAGGAGCTGCTACTTCTGAATAAAGGAAGGTGCAACTCTGAATACACTGTGAAAATGTTTCCATTTATAATACCTTCAGTTTCTATTTTTACTGTCCTAACTGTAAATATACTGTCTCAGTGGTGTGCTTTTGTCTCTTTGTATTTTGCATTTTGCAATCACAACACTTCCTAGACACTTAAATTTTAGGGTTTTTTTGTGCGTGTGTGTGTTAATACTAAGTGACATTTAAAATGTGGCCCACACATATTAACCCCACAGTCTTTTGGCAGCTGTTTCCCTGACCTCAGCTGGAGTTCTGCCTGAGTAGCAACTACAGGCAGTGCAAATTTATGCAACTGTGGGGTTTGACTTCCTCTGCTTTCCCATTGCTCAAATGTTAAATCTAGCCTCTTCCTCAGCATCTACACTGCATGATAGAAAAGAAGCGTTTTCCTTTGCTGCTGGCTCAGTCCCAGCATGGGGAAAGATTTAGTGCATCAATGTACCACTAAATCTACCAGCTTGCTGCTTCTGCAGAAAATGCCAGCTGTGTCACAGCACGCAGATGTGAGGTGCACAAACTCCCATTCAGATCCAGAAATCCTGTCATTCTTTGCTTTGCATTTTTCTCTGTAAATGGCCATTCTTTTGCTGCAAGAGATCCTCTGTGCCTACGGAGGAAGCTGCAGGATAAACAAACTCAAGCTGAAAATGTGAAAATCCAGTAAATAATGTGAAGACATTGAAGATGGCTTTTATCAGAAGGTTCTAAGTTCTTATCGTCTTAAAATCTGAAGGATTTCACGTCACCTCTTGCTACCATACGTAATTAAGCAAAAGTTTCTGCTCTGTGTGATACTCTTCCAAAGGAAGTGCCAGTTGTATACTTTGGAAATGAAGAATTTGACACAACCGTTTGGCAGACAATCGTTGAAGTTGAAGAATAGCTATTGGTATTTTTATGTGCAAAATTCAATTCTGTGTAAAATCTCAAAAAATTTTTTGGCTATGGCTTGATTAACCTAGTTTATTTTTTTTTAATCTATAAATGCAGTTCATGTTGGACCAAAAATGGACTTCAGGCTTCTGTTCTGTAGTGGGGCCTAACTTTGAGCATGGGACTAGAAAAATAATACTGAATTCAGTAGGGCTGCTCCCAAGCTTAGAGATTACATGCACATTGTGACCCTGAAGAGTCAGGATTTAAATTTTAAGTCCTGTAAACACAGATATGATTAATTGTATTTTCATGTGTGATCTCACAGTACTGCAGCTAAGCACTTGCTAAAGATGCTAAATTGGGAAGGAACTTACACTGCAGTTTACTAGCATTATGCAGTTGTTCATGTTTGTAAAATTTGTAGAGAATGAGCATTTGGGAGAATGAGTTACTTCAGTTAAAATCATCATGAATATACCTGAATAAATAATGAATAAGACTGTCCTTTAAAATGCATTTTAAGATGCCCTCTTTTTCAGTGTGAAGGATGCTCGATATATTTGAATGTTACAAACGATGAATTTTTAAACTATGCTGTCACATAATTAGTGCTAAATATTTCACATGAGTATGTTGCACATTTCAATAAATGTTTCTATTTTCTTAAGTTTGCCTGTAATTTCTTTTTTTTTTTTTTTTTTAATTATAACCCAGAACCGTAATAGCGGAATGTGCGCCTGCATTCACAAGAGATCTGTAATTCCGGATGCAGTCTGTACTTAGCATAGGGGGCTGCTTGCACCGTGCCAAGGGCAGCATCTAGGCTGAAATGGAGAACAGTAGTGATGATTCCCCTTGCGATGAAGAGCATGTTACACGCTTGAGTGGGCTGGGCTGTGTTAGGAGAAGACAGTTAAAATCCCTGGCGCTGTTCAAATGCCAGCCATTACGAAAGACACGACTATCCATAAATATCTGAGGAGAAAAAACAGGTTATCTCCTGTTATGGGAAATAAGAGACAAAAGCTAGTCAATTTAGAGGAGTAAGGACAAGTGGCTTAGAATCATAGAATCGTTTAGGTTGGAAAAGACCTTTAAGATCATCCAGTCCAACCATTAACCTACACTACCAAGTGCACACTAAACCAATCAAGGGTAGACTAGACTAAACCATGTCCCCAAGTGCCACATCTACCCGTTTTTTGAACACTTTGAGCTCCTCAAGCTCATCTCCCGTCTGCAGCCTGCAGTACACACTCCGGTACTAGACAACCTCAAACGGAGCTTTTCACAGTAATTGGCTT